TTACCCGTTCGCATCAACCACAGTTCTAGAGATCTTCATTTTCCTTGTAGATCCAGAGTAAAGCTCCTCAAGGCTGCAAGGCAATTTACTCTCCACTGGTGGTGGTTTTTTGGGCATAGTAGCACCCGTTCCATCACTCGCTGTTCTAAAAATATTCTCACCCCCACCAAATCCCCCAAACAAACTGCTTCCTTCTGATGAGAATCTCGTCGACTTTACTCCAGCTGACCCAAATCCAAATGGGCTGCTCCCAAAGAATTCTGCAAAAATATCTTCAGCGTTTCGAGGATTACCGCTAGATCCAGGTGACGGCATGTCTTTAAGACCTTCCTCACCATACTGATCATAGACTTGTCTTTTTTGAGGATCACTTAAAATCTGAACGAAAGGAGTAAAACTTGATAGTAAGAATGCATGACACCAAGATCTTATGATCATTAGAATTACTGCATATATCATATCTTTGATTCTTTCAAGATTCACAATTGGTTAAATGACTCAATTATAATAGGTGGAGGCTCAATAACATCTGTCCTAAAGAAAAGTCAGAGACAATAATACACTAAAGCATAAAAATTACAAAAAAAAAAAAAAAAAAAAAAAAAAAATCTTTCTTTTTTGCTTAGAAAGGGGTGAGGAGCAATCAATTCAACAACCACTAGAGTTATGACAAAATCATTATAGCCATCGCTACAAGATTTGAACCTCGGTTGATAGCAGAAACAGAAGCCCCAGAGCTGACTAGGCCAAACCAACTGCTACCAAACAAAGAGCTTTCAATTACACAGAATTTGAAGGATAGTGAAAGGAAATAATGTTTTGTTCCTTCTAGCATCTTTAGTATCATAGTTTTCATAAAGTGGGACTTCCAAAGATTTTCCTTGAAGTTATACTGTCATTTTCACAAAATTAGCACAAAGTTTCGCGGTAGATAGATCCTTCAAACTTCACGAAGGTTTAAGAACGAAACTTCATACACATTATACCTAAGCAACAACAGAATACACAAGAATCATTCGATTTTTTCTGTATTATTACTACAGTTAAATGCGTGATTATGAACATTTCTATAGATATATGCACATTTAAAAATAAAGAAAGGGTAAGTGTGACAAACTTCATAGGCCTCAGATATTTGCTTGAACTGAGCCTCAGCTTCCTTCTTGTTGTTGGGGTTCTTATCAGGATGCCATTTCATTGCCAATTTTCTGTAAGCCTTCTTCAGATCATCATCTGTCGCTGTCTTCCCCACGTTCAAAACGTTGTAATAATCCACCCCCATTTTTCTCTACCTAAAAGCAAATTTCTATATCTGAATATGAGTTTCCAACTCAATATCATCAAAATTCAGACTTCTCCTTATCTTCCCAAAAGTTCAGCCAAAGGGGGCCTTTAGAAACTGCAAATCCAAAAAATAAGCAGATCAAGATATGAAAATGAAAATATCTCAGTTCTGCATTATGAAATTTTAATTCATGATAATCATAAATTCAAAGAACAGTATCTATCTTTCAGCAGATACCCAAATAAATATTGGTCATGAAAATGAAATTGTGTACAAGATTAAAGATATCATAAATTCAATCAGAAATTTTCAATCTCTCACAGTGGAGTAAAAGAAACATAACATTTCAGCACATACCCAGATCAATAATCACAATAAAAATGAAAAGTTCCAATTTTATTGTTCAAGATCACCAAATATTTCAAACAAACGTACCTTTATAAAAAAATTCCAAGGAAAATGAGAATTTTGATATTTCTGACTCTGTATAATAAATTCCAACTCAAAATTTCCGAGTTTCAGCACATATTGAGATCAAGAATTGCCATGAAATGAAAATGGAAGCTTGCTGAAGGGAGAAATATTAGAATAGGAAATTTGAAGGTTTGTGAAATTTACTAAAACAAAGAGACCTTTGGTCACCTTGATATTCAAGCAATGACACAAAATGAGATTTTCTTTTCTTGCTAGAAAGTGTTTAAGGCAATGTTGTTTTAGTTTTACTATTTTTCTGATATTTCAACGAGAATAACGGAACCTCATGCACTATCTCTCCTTTTGTTTTTGTTTTTGTTTTCAGTTGTCTTAAAAAGAAAATGGTATTTCAATCTTTTTCTACTAATAAACTAAGAAAGTTTTTGTGCACTTTATCTTACCTCTAACATGCGTAAATATCATGATTTTCATTTTATCTGAAAAAAACACACACACGCATCCAATTAACTTTATCCTATATTTACGGATGAATTTGATACTATTATATAGTACTATAATAATTTTAATTTCAGAAAGGGGCCTAATTCTAATAAAGTTTAAATACAGTTACTTTAGATATATGATTGAAATGGTTAATTAGCAGCAAATATTTAATGGAACAACTATTTTCACATAGGAATGGCAGTGGTGTGGGGTGGATTTGGACTAAACCCGCAAAATTTTCGACCCGCCCCGCATAGCAAATTTTTTGTTTTCAACCCGCCTCACCTAGCACCCGCAAAACCCGTCCCGCCCCGCATAAGTTTTATTTTTCTTTTTTCTTTCATTTTGTTATTTCACTAAAACAAATAAGTTAAACAATTCATTCTCTAAAGTGGAGAGCTTATTATTTACATAACTCAAGCAACCCTCACTTTCAACTAAGAGGTTGTGAGTTCGAGTCACTCCAAAAGTAAGGTGGGGAGTTCTTGGAGAGAAGGATGCCGAGGGTCTATTGGAAACAACCTCTCTACCCTATGGTAGGGGTAAGGTCTACCCTCCCCAGACCCCATAAATGGGATTATACTGGGTTGTTGTTGTTGTTGTTGTAAGCAATTTGATATTTTATTATTTTTCTTTGTGTTTTCTTCTCCAGAAAAATATCCCATTTGAATTCACAAGGAAAAATGTTTCAAAGTTACAATTTAAATGATAGTTTTATCAAATGTACTCAATCCTTCCTCGTTAATTTTTATTGACCCAATTTGTATTTACAAAGTCAACAACTCTCTTCTTGTTTCTTTTTCAATTTTATTTTTGATAGTATATTATTTCCTGATCATTTTTAATTCGGAAAATTGGATGTTAATAGTCTCTTCTGTAGTTGGAAAATATATACTAATACTAGTATAAAAGAAAAACAAACCAATGACTTAATTAGGCCAAGAACTTGTCAATTCAATTGTTACAAACTGGATTTTTTTTGTCACACACTGAATTAGTACAATTGGGTCTTGCAGAAATGAGTTGATAATCACACCAAATAACAAAAAAAATAGAACGAAAAGAGTTTAGCAGAAATAAACAAACAAAATTGGATGAAGCATTTTAAAATTAATAAGAGCAAAAGAGGGAGCAGATTGCTTTACCCACAAACCGCCCCGCTTGAAAGTTTTACAAAAAGGCAGTCAAACCGCCCCGCCCGCACCCCGTAAGAGCAAACCCACCCCGCCCCATTGCCATCCCTATTTTCACAAACACGAAAGTTCAGTTCAGTTCTATCCATTTCGATTACCAAGTGAAGCCCAGTTCCATACTTGATAAACAGCAAACAAACATAGAAAGCTACAGATAGTCATGAACTTCACTGCCTTCTTTTAAGAGGAGCAATACATCTCTAAATCGATCTACAACAATTGAAGGATGAGACATTCGTCAGGTCAAAGGAACAAACTTCAAGAAACTTCACAACGACCATAGGTGTGCAAGATTTTGTATTTACATACAGAGTAGCTACTGTTAACAAAAACTGTAGATAACTAAATGCTACATAGAATACTTGCTACATGTGAATAATACCCGACGTAGAATCAGGACTGACCGATCATGGATAAGACAACCAAATAGAATACTTGAGCTCTCCACTTCCTGCTTTTCTAGGTTTCTGTGTTCCTTTAAACAGTCTAGCCATATAAAGATACGAATTTACTTCCGCTTTTCCTACCAAATTTCCAATCTGTTGCCCCAACAAAAATATCTAGCTGCAGTCTAAAAATTTTTTATGGAACTTGAAATCTTTACAATGATATCAATATCCTCCTGTCAAGGAAACATTCCCTCCAGATACTCATCAATATTTTCATTATCTTCATTACCCGGATTATCAGATGAAGTTGAAGCCCTGGACCCTCTACTCTTGCCTTTCCTTCGTTCATATTTATCATCCTTATTGTCATCATCACTTACAGATCTTTCCCTTTCCCTACGATGCTTATCTTTCAGGTTTTCTCTAGATTGCTCCTTCTCCTTCTCCTTCCTCTTTTTATAATGAAGCTTTTCTGCACATCTTTCACAGGTTACCAATTTCACTAGGGCCTGTTTGTTTTCTCCTGCTTCAACATATGAAAAATTCACCTCGTAGCTAGCTATACCATCTCTCTCATCGCAGTGTTTGTTACCACAAACAAATTGCCCTTTCCCAGATATCACTTCCTTTTCGGTCCTCCATCTCAGACCAATCTTGCCACTCTTATAGTGTGTCATATCGGCTAAGCAATATTCTTTAAAAAGCTTGTCATAGTAGCGCTTCACCAACCTTTGCTCCCAAGATGGATTCATATCATCTTCCTCAGTTCGTATGAACCGGTATCCTTCTTTAAGTGTATCCTGATCTGTTTTAACAGGCAACTTTTCTTGTGTGAATCTCTCTCTTCCATAATATCCAACATAATCATTGAGGAATTTCTTGTGGCGATCATAAGCATTCAGGCCAAGTATGTGATCTTGGTATTGCTGTTTTCTTGCTTGTCTGTCAAAGATAGCCTGCTTAAGCGACCCAAACGAAGTCATTATTTTCTGAACTGGGTGCAAAATCTCCTGTTTATATCATAAAAAACAACAAAGGTTTAAGGTTTAATTCACGTTCAGGACCGTAAACCAAAGTTTTTCTTTGCCGCGTTGCTTTTTAAGTTTCTTGATATCTTGAGTTGGTTGAGTTCTATGAGTAACCTTAGGATATCAACAATTTTGTAGTATGGTAAGGTATCCAACAATCTTCTGCAAAAGTAAATCCAATCACAAAGCTAATTAACAAAAAGAATTAAAAGATATATCAGGCAAGTGCATTACATGGGATAGAAAGACATAGAAGTACCAAAGTAGCCAGCAATCACCAATAACTAAGCAGTCTTACCAGTTGAGGTTATGCTTGAGATAATCTGACTGACTTCATCAAAGCAAAATTCGTATATATTAACACAGATTAAACATGTAGATAAAATGCTAGTTAATCATAGTTTTCAAAATTTAATTAGTTTTAGAAGTTCAAGTACAAAAAAGCAAATGCTCATCTGCTTCCCTGCAATCATGCTGGAAGCAATGAACCAGTAAGGCAAATTTTGCATTTCCACCGGCTAAGGTACGCAATATGACAAACATGTTAGCAATTCTTTCGTTTACCAAGCTTCCTAGTGTTCACAGAAGGCTCCTATTCAAAATAGAGTTCCTATATTACCTTTTTTATTATGTCACATATCAAAAAAAAAAAAATATTAACAAAAGAAGCGACACGTGTGTACCAAGGCAGCACGGACTCAAACTGTTTTCCAATTCCTAATTAAGGAGGATCTCCAAAATAAATATCCTAAATTATCACATCAACATATATACCATTATTGCAGAAAAAAGTGTGAACTAATAATATCCTAACTATAAGGTTCATGCATTAACACTAAAGTAAGATGTCTCTTCATTCAACATTGTAGTTACCCTTTCGATTTGGACCAATCAATATCTTAGGGTTTGCTATGAGGGACTGAACCTTAGGTTTGACTGATTCCACATGAACATTTCAACTCTGTGGACCGTTGTTTAACGAAACTCAAAAGAAGTTGATGTTGAATGGATATAGAAAGATATAAGAAGCTAGGTATATATAGGAAATTAGGTTCGATTATTTGGGCAATTTATAACCCTAAGTCCAAACAACAGAAAGAAGAACAAAAAAAGTAAATAGAGCGGAGAGATAATACTAACCTGAACACAGTAAGATCAGACACGGAACAAAGAAAGCCTTCGATGAGGAATGTATAGCAAATTTGAGAGGGCCAAATGTATGAGGTGGCTGCTGTTCAATTCGTTGTGTTAATATAAACTTTTCCTTTCCTCTTTTCTTCTTCAATTGTTTTCCCCTTTAAAACTCTATATCTTTTGCTAATAAAAGTAAAATTCATAATTTTAAAATAACAGTAACACTAAATATAAATTAATCAAAAAATAATAATATCAATTGCAAATTAAAACTAATTTTTTTTTAAAATGGTAGATTTCGTTAATATATTCCATAACACAAACATTAATATTCAATTTTTTCAACGAGTTTATTATTATTGAGTAAACTAGTTCTTGAACACCTGTATCCCATGCTAGTTATTACAAATATTTTTTAGAATACTACATGCGTGATGAATTGCACAGAAATTGAAGAGAAACAATAAAAGCTCGTACTTAAGAATGGTGAGTTTATTCAACCAATATTTATTGTCATTGCAAGTTGCTATCAAATGAATTTCAAATGTAATATTCGAACACCTTCAATTAAGAAATTCTTATAATATATCAAATATTTCAACTTGACAGTAATTCCTTTTCTGTATGTCAAAAGTGTTGTTCCTCTGTACTTGTAAATAATGATTCTGGAAATTAGAACGTTAGCTTATAAACGTAAATATAAATAAAAAACAGAAATTAATTCGAGCCCACTGAATTCACAGTGTTTCCTTAAGGAATTTAATCCCCTCCTAGTACCCAAGGTTATAGATTATTTCCTCCCAGGATAGAACGAATTACACACTGGTGTAGCGGTACTTCAAACCCCAGTGTTTCAGCGAACACAAAGTTCGGCAACAAATCACACTTATGGATGCTTTGTTTGTAGTTAAAAACAATGCAGAATAAGGAGGACAACTCAGAAGTCGAATGGAAATTCTGAGAGGAAGGAATGCAAAGTATAGCCAATGTTGAATTCTTACTGAAGAGAATATCAAATTGCAATTCGTTTTTCCAGTGTATACGCAGTGTATACAGAGTGTATATCCAGTATATGCAGAGTGTATATCCAGTGTATACAGAGTGTATCGTACTTTGTGTGCAGATCCAGTTGTTTTCGGGCACGGTGGTTGCTGATTCCCAGAGTTTTCAGTCAATCAGAGATTATCAAGGTTGTTGCCTTGGCGTCCGCAGACCTTGACTCTCCTTCTCTATCCCTCAGATTTACTTATTCAGTTTCTGTTTTCCTTAGATAGTGTATTAGACTTTGTATTTATATAGATGCTCATGTACTCAGTGACACCTTGATTTTGGAAAACTTCTGTATCGAGTTGTGATGGTTTTATCCAGTTGAAAGAGGGAAAAAGTTGAGTGCACTGACCTTCTTTTGAGCAGCAAACTAAATAGGAGCCTTTCTTAGCTGTTGAGAATCAAGAGCTCAAAACTCCGACCAATGTGAATCTCAGAATCCTGAAAGGAAATCAAAACTAGTTAGGAACACAAGTTTGATATTTTAAACTACTTAAGACTAAAATTGAAGTTTTTTGTTTGTTAGGTGGTTCTCATATGTATCTTGTTATGTGTTAGTTGACGATATAACTAAACAAGGCTCTTCACAACCAATACTAAGCAATACGATGAAGAACTAGTGAGAAAGCAATGAATATTAAGGTGACTTCGGGACAGTGAGAACGAACAAGTTTATTAAGTGTATACAGAGTGTTTCGAGTGTTTTTTTTTCGATGTGTTCTTCTTTCTCTCCAACTTATGCTCTATTTATAGCAGTTATTTGAGA